ATGACTCTGCCATATCCAATTGAACTAACCCGACCGTTCAAGTTGTTAACTGAAAGAGTTGTCAATCCATCAGTTTCAAATATGAACTTAGAAACAAGTGGGTACATGCACGGAAATACCTGTAATCACGTTGGGATGTCAAGCATGCATTGCAATTGACAAAAGATACATGGGGAGCAGTGGAGAACAAGTTATGAAGGCATGAGGACGAAAAGTCGGATGCCAGTTTGATGCCATCCTGACAGCCACTGGGGGCAGGAAGATACCAGACCAGTGTAAGATGCCGGGGTGCGTCGAATGATGAGGGAGGCTGATGTGAGCTAATCAATGAGCTAAGCTGGGCCAAGCCCATGGCAGCACAAGTAAGGAGGCATCAGATAGGGGCAATCGAGGCAATATACAGGACTTAAACAAAGCTAGTACAAAAGTAATGCGATTTTGAGCAGCTACGACGCATAGAAACTAGAATGGGAACGAATATCCATCTGTATCTATTACCGATGTGAGAATGGAAGTGAGGGAAAGTGATAAGAACGTATAGGGAAAGAGAAAGATGATTGGATAGGCAGAAGGATAAGTAAAGAGATTCAGGGGTAGAGCATAAAGTCGAAATCGATTTAGGAGACAAATGATAGAAAAGGCAAATAAAAGCGACAAAGAAGCGTATGCATTTGCGTGTGAATATGCGAGAATGAGTTGGAATGCCTGCTAGTTGACGCGAAAGAAATAAAACAGGAAATGCAATAGCTGAAAAAATGAAAACATTTTGGATGTCTATAGGGGGCATAATTCGGAAACACATTCCATTAAACATTTAAAAGAAATTTTATTGTCTGCTATTAAATATAAAAGTAGGCCTCAATGGTAAAATAGCAAATAGTCAGCATAGCAATTGAATCATCCAATTGTCGGACAACATTCTAGGGTGCTCTGTACGCGTTTATTTTAATCAGTTTGTGGTGCCCTGTTGCGGATACTCGGAAGGTAACAGAGCATACATTATCGAAGCTATGAAGACCAAGATAATTTGGCCTTGTTTTCGCAACTTGGTCGTATTGTCAGGAAGACCGAGAGGAAGGCACCCTGTCCAGCGTGAATATTATTCATAGTGATTTCTAGCGTCGGACCGTGAAATTGGTACATTCCCATACAATGGAATTCAGACAAGATGTGATCCTCTATATTTCCCTGACAGTATGACCAAGTTGAGAGAACAAGGTCAAACAACTTCCATATATATTAAGTTCATGCATTACTCGGCTTTGAGAAAATAAAGGCTCGAATATAGAGCATTTCTGTGTAGTGAATTTTTTCTCTCTCATTTAACATCCTCGCTCTCATTTATAGCAGAGAACAAAGCTAAATATGAACGTCTCAAAGGAAAATAAGTGCCTATTTGTTCCGGCGAAACTTTATACTGGCCCACCCTCTGTGGCGATCTGGTTTCTCCTGTTTTTATCAGCAATAAAACTTTCATTTTAAGAGCCGCCTGCTTTACAGATGAAATTATTGTAAAAAACTATTAGTGTACATTCTTAGGACTCAGAATATGTCCTTGATTTTATAGATGAAACCAGTATTCGCTGCAACCAACGCCCCATTTGGATGTTCAAGTGTTATCTAAGACTCTACTTGGCAGATCTACATTCAGAGTTTGCTTAGTGGACTGTATCGAAATTTGTAAAACATACGCGCTCAGAGCTTTCCAGAAATAACCTCAGTATTCCGGTCATACCCGATTCCGATAGATTGCAATGCCAAATAATTTGATTCTAATCTCTCAAAGGTCACAGGCTAATGGATATACAAAAATGTGTAGGAAGGCAGATAATTTTGGAAATAAAAATTCTGACAAAAAACACACTGCAATAAAAAACCATAGTCGTGCAGTAAAAACTCAAGTTTGAATATCTCTTGACATAAAAAGATCTAATGTTTACACTTTATTATCAAATAAAACTAGTTTAACCAGGCAACAGGTCAAGTAGAAACCTCAGCAGTATTACTAATTTGCCGAATTCTCTTATTCATTTGTGAATAAAATTAATAAAAAAGGTACCAAGTAACCATTTGAGAGATTGCACTAACCAATGAAAACATGACATTAATATTGATAACGTCGTTAAGGGTCAAAATATAGTTACGGTAATAATGATAGTGATAATAATATCAGCTGTTGAGACAGGATAAAACGTGTTGGCAAAAAGTGGACATTAGACATGCTAATCAAAGCATAATGCCTAAGTTAAGATGGGCAGGTCCCATGTAAATAAGAGATACCTGAAAAGGCGATAAACAAAATGAAATGTAAGACAAGGGAAAATGATACAAAACTTAATACATGAGCCATCTTTTTAAAAGTTAACTCAAAGGTATAATTCTTCCAATAATGAAAAGACATCAGGTTAAAAAAAATCAGCAAAGACGGCAACAGAAACAACAAATTCAACACTATTAGTAAAGCTAGTAGCCGCGGAAAAAAGCATAATTATAACATTTTCAATAATATCGAAATAATTGGTAGAATTTTCGACGCAAAATTGTATAAGACTGGTTGATAAACATGATACCTTGAAAAAGCGAAGCATGTTTTGAAAGATACCTTTAAATTTAGCCTCTTAATTATTCAGCAAATATCCTAAGTTGTTTAGTTAGAAATTCTACAGGAGCCGCTAAAAGAATTAACAGGTCTGTGATAAAGGATAATTTGAAATAAGGAAATAAAATATTATTCTATCAGAATTTCCATTAGGCGAAATAGGCACAAACTGTCTTATCACCTATCAGATGGAAAGTGTTTTTTCAATTTGCCACCGATGAAGGTCTATCTTGACCACACGAATCTAAAAGTTATCACTCATCAAAATGTATCCTCAATGTATGCAATTTGAGCAAACCAAAAAGATTAAAAATCCAAATGATAAGGCACATGTGACCAAAGAAGAGTAATAAAAAGTTACTCTTAATTAAAACAATAATATTAATAAAAATCAAATAGCTTAAACTTGTTACAAGATAGGACCCTCCGTTTGGAAAATAAAATAGCATGAGGATGTAAATACCACGACGAATAAAATGAGATTCCAGTGCCACATGGAAACGATTAAATTCTCGGATAAACCACTGTAAAAAGAGCCTATTGTCTTTCACTTGCTTAAGAGACGCAATATCGAGAAAGCGGAGGTCAGCAATGCTGAATATAACATTTTCCTTATTGATGGATAGCAATAACTCGAGAATAAAGGCCAGAGACCATAAATATATGTTCGCTAGTAGGCAAAATTCGACGATGGTACAGAAATTAAATCACTTTAATGATGGAGTAATAGTATATATATATTCGTGAATTACCGAAAAGTTCAGATAGGAGTGATATCTAGTTGACCTAGAAACTGTGTCCACCCTTTACAGTAATGAAGTGGAATGAATGCGCAACAAAAATTTAAACTTTCACTGCTTGGGCCCAAATATCATTGGATACGCCTATATAAAATGCTAATTAGTTTAAAACGATTATGTCTAGGATATTATAAAGTCACTTGCCCCACTTCGCGAGTAGATGCTAAAAGCCAAATTTAGCTCTTAAAGCAAAATATGAAAAACTCTTTGAAAAATCGGATAGTATAGGTCTATAGTCATCACATCGGCAAAGCAATCCGAATGAGAAACTCATTTGTTTTTAAACATCCAATAAGGCTTATTCATTTTGATTCCAAATAGTGTGTTGCGAAGACTAGTTTATAATGGATGTGATTCCGACCGATGATTTGGACGCAAGACGGCGTGGTGTAACAGAACGAAATAGAGCTGGTTTATCTTAGAACATAATGAAATTATCCACTAAGAAAGCAGCACAATTCCTCTACAGTTATAAGCAGAATTAGTTAGAATTGTTACGAAACTAGGCCATGTGCTACCTTTTGAGAAGTTAGCATTTTCACTAGAATAGGTTGGCAACATCATATTTATTTCAAATGTGCAAGCCTCTTGAGAATTATCAAAGACTAGTAATTAAATACTCATTATTCAATATGTCAGATATCATATATTCTAGGAATGTATTATTATTATACGGTTAAGGTATATTATAGCTTAAAATATGTCTTTAGAAATAAAGTCAATAAAAATATATTCATATAGAGTAGATTTCGAAACTGCCAGTGCAGCTAGTAATTAAATAGATATGAATAACCGTGGAATGCTAATGTATATATCTATTTACTTTAAGTCTCATATGCTGCATTCACCACACAAAAAGAGAAATAAGCTCTTGTGCTTCAAAAGTTGTCGGCCTAGCATAATAAATAATCGGCACTCGTGTTAGAATAACTAGGAATTCCGATCAGATATCTGCGCTTAATTTAGATTAATAGGTTAAATGACATACATATGATAGACTTTAATAGCCGATAGCGAAAATATAATATCAAATCAGAGGCTTAATTTAAAAGTGAAAAAAAAACGGAATGCCGCATTTAGGTGTGAAAGGAAGATTTAAGTCTCCAATTCCTCTGGACCAATTCTGTATCTATAACAAAAGGAGGATGCGCGGAATACTTGCGAGTCCGTGGGATAAAAACAGACCTTTACACTATAATGCGCTCATCTTTACTTATACGCGAAGAGATGGTCAACAATCAGAAAGTGTAACTCACACGTCCATTCCAGGGACATAAGATCCGACGCGACCCATTCCTGAACGGCCATAGTAGAAGCCCATATTGTCGGTTACACCAGCAGCCGCCTCTTCTGCCGCAAGTTTCGCCTTTAGCTCACGCTGCCTGCGCTCGTAAAGGTAAATTATCAGCATCAACGTAAGGATTTCAATGCCGATGCCGATGAGCGGCCAGAATTTCGCGTAGGCATCTTGAAATATTATTCAAAAGTTAAGATAGAAAAAAAGGGATAAGAAAGAATAAGGCTTATTTCTCTGTTAGTGCATGTTAAAGACATAATAATATATTTAGTAAGCGTATGCTGAAAAAAGCCATCAGGAGCTATTTAGTAGGAGTTTTAGAAGGTTCTATGATACTGCTAAGTTTCGATACGACTATAAAGATGTTAGTTAAGGCAAGGTAAGCATTAGAATTATGCTTACATTTTCATGATAGGGCTGAGATAACACTTATGGACGAATGCTTAACACATAATGACAAATGGTATTCATGAAAACGCGAGAAAGAGTAAAGTAAGCCACGAAACAGCGTTTAACTCCGATTCTCTCTCAGTCTGCTTAGACAAAACTCATTTCAGACTAGGACTCTAATAAATAGCAAATGGTCTGATAATTACAAGTTCAAGCTACTACCGAACTAATAAAGATCTGGTGATAATTCAGACAACTACTAAACTAAGCTCTAGCAATAATTTCAAATTTAGTGTCAAATATAGAATTACTATAAAAAAATGTTCCACAGTACAAATTTTAACAAGTGGCTTGTCTTAACTTGAAGGTCGTGTGCGCTTCGTTGACTTACCGGCAATCAAGCTGAATAATTGAATAATGCTTTCGTCAAGTATCAGCAGTTCAATTACAAGGCCTTTGGACATCAATGCAGCCTGTAGTGAAAAATTTTCCTATTTCTTGCTCAATTTTAATCATGAAGCGATGGACAGGAATAAGTACTCAGTAAGCTTTAATGCAGTGACTCTTAACTTAGTCTAATGTTGATAAAATAGAAGAGTTTGTGCCTACAAATGTGGTGTATGGTCAAGAATAAGCTAACCGAGGAGCTACCTCATGTCGACTTCCAGAGGGAATAAGGAAGACTAGATGGTAAGCCAGTTGGTGCGTGCTCTTATCTCAATAAAGCTGATTCCTAAACACTGAATTTAAGTGACCGCCAAGCTCAGTGTCAACCCAAAAATTTAGAGAAAATAAGGAACTTGGTCGATAAAATAAGATCCTCATCTTAGATACTTGCCAAGTTGAGGAGACTTCTGACTGGGGAGCCAATGAATTAAACTTGAGCTTAAGAAGTACTGGCCCGAAAAGTCAGAAGCGATGGGTTCTTATGACCGAAGTCGGCACAAGGAGAATGTTAATGCACATGCAAGCAAAGACTATGAAGGGCTAGTTAGTCGACAGGTTGATTAGTAGAGACCAGGCCAATGGGCCTGGTTCAAGGAACCGCTAAACGCGGGAAGCACAACACCGGGCAGTAGTAACTAGGAGACCAAAGGTCCAATGAGAAGTGTGGTATGAAGCCAGGACCCACCAACAGTTCCCATATAGAGAAGTTTTGGAGTCGGGTGCTTAAGACATGGAATGCAGGATATTACTCTATAAGTCCATAACATTAGGGAAGATGATCTGTTTAGCAAGGTCATAGATGCAATGCTCCTGGTCTTAAAGAAGTAGTTAAACTACCTAAACTGCATTTGTAGTCTGGAAAATGTTTTGGAAATCACTGGTAGGAAAAAGCTTCTAGAAATCTATCAAGTATCAGGATCGCCCTCTTTTGTAGTCCTGAAAAATAATCATAGCAACTGATGGCAGCCTTAGTACCTAAAGGGCTAGTAAAGATTGAAATCTCAAATCTCCAAATAAACAAGGTTTAATCAACTATGACCCAAAAGTGTTTATTCGTTCTACACTTTCCCAGGTCCACGTTGTGGATTTGTGTGTCGTAGCATGCACCCACTTTTTTCATATATCTGGAATACCAAACTCATAGCCTTAAATTTGTCCCAGTATAAAAGACAAGGCTAAGTTCCTACAAGTTGTTCACTTTTTCACCGTCTCCCAGCTTGTGCTCCAGTGTGTGTTTCTACATGTGGAAAAGCCGAGCATTTTTTAGTCTGCTGCCCCGACAGCCATACATTACAGAACTCTTGCCTTGTCTGCGATCCTAAATGAATTTCGCTAGGCATTATGCCCATTACATTTCCCACAAACACACATAAACACGGCAATTAAGTTCACCAAAATTATTTGTTTAATGTGAACTAATTTCGGAAAATGAGAAAGGAGCCTTATCGGTCCGGTCTTAAAGTTGAAGCCAAAGCCATAATCTCTCTAGCAGTTTGAGTCCTGACCTCCTTAACTGATTGTTATGATTGCTTACATTACAGTTATGATTGCCATTACTTCAATTTTCCTTGTATTATGCTAAATCTTGTTATTTCAGGAAGCTAACTGTAATGTCTCTGACTGGAGTTTGACTCAAACGATCGCAAATTTAGTAATAGTATGCATACCACCTCAATCCTAGGTCAGGACCGACTTGTAGTGACCGATCTCATCTTTTTCCTAGTGCACCAGTGTGTCTGGATAAAGTGCCTATCTCTCAACAGCTTCTACTTTCTCACATAGACCACTTGTGATTAATCAAATCCTGATCCAGGCCGCGCGACTGTCGACCAACTACATTCTCGCCAGCCGTACCCAAGCCTGCCAAAGAACCTACCAGATTGTGACTGCTCACACAAAGCTGGATCAACCGCACTGTAACAATCAGAAGCCGGCCGTTACACCAGACATGATGCGTCTCATATGCGAAGAAAAGTTGGGTTTCGAGGAATCTCTTGTTTCATAATTGTTGAGCTTACTTCCATTTCGAGTCTATGAAGAAAAGTTGGGTTTCGAGGAATCTCTTGTTTCATAGTTGTTGGGATTACTTCCATTTCGAGTAGGTGAGCTGTGCAAATAAATATGAAGAAAAGTTAGGTTTCGAGGAATCTCTTGTTTCATAATTGTTGAGCTTACTTCCATTTCGAGTGAAAGTGTTTGGTGAAGGGGTTTCGAAGAATTTCTTGTTTCATAATTGTTGGGATTACTTCCATTTCGAGTAGAAGTGTTGGGTGAAGAGATTCGAAGATCGGTTCCACCAGAAGACGATGTGGATTCCTCTTGATCAGCTGTCGATTGGCTTTACTGAACATTCATACTGACGCTGTCTCCGAGGTAATCTTGTTCGATTTCGGTGAAAAGGTGTTAAGCTTTCGTCCGTCATATGACGAAATGGAAGTAAGCTCAACAACAACGAGTCAAGAAAACTCATTAGCTTCAATTTTGTTGTGACGATGTTACCTTGCTCTGATGATGTTCGTCATATGACGGACGAAAGCTTTGCACCCTTTCACCAGAATCAAAGGAGATTGCCTCGGAAACAGCGTCAGCATGAAGCTTCCAGTAAAGCCAATCGACAGCTGGTC